GAGGGAGAAAAGTTAAGACCGGGAGCTTCGGCATAGACCGCAAGGTCGAACCTATCGACACGGAAATAATTGCCATTTGCCAAGGTCTCTTTGCCTGTATACAATTTGCCAACACACGATTCGCCACTAATATATTAGTGCACACAGACAACAGAACAGCCGTCGGAATTGTGAATGGAAATTCTTCTTTGACGTGCCGAAAAGAAACTAAGTTAATTCGAGACGCACAGGAGAACTGGAATAGGCGTGAAAAACTCGCTCATGTCTCAAATGGTGTTATTTTTGCGGAGTGGGTTCCCGGTCACATGGGTGTCCCGGCAAATGAAGAAGCAGACTCTCTGGCGAAAGCTGGAGCTCTTAGAGTACAGCCGGCCGTACTTGAGAACAACCCATCCTTTGCGGCAGTCAAAAGTCATGTTTTGGATATGAGGAAACAACTCTTAGATTCTTGGTGGGACATTCACGGCCCTGCAAGATATAAAGACCTAGACATACAGGCAGGAGTACCTGGAAAATGCCCAGCCACGCTACAGATTCCCAGGAAAGCACTCCACCACCTTCTTTCGGCCCGTTCAGGGCACGGAGACTTTGAGAATTACCATGAGAGATTTAACCATACCAGCTACTCACCGTGCATTTGTGGGCGAGCAAAGTCCCCTATTCATTTTTTCTTCTGCCGCTTGAAAAGAGTGACAGTAAGAAGATATACTGGAAAACTTAGAACTCAAGAGGCAATAAATTGGCTACTAGGCACAGAGGAAGGGGCGGTGGCATACTCTAGTATCATAAATGGAATGTAGTCTCCTCTGGGGAAATAAATGTAGGGACCGAAGTATTGCATAAGATTGCGATACTGGACTGGATTGTAATTAGTGCAGAACTGCTAGAAAATTTCGCTGCGGGCTTAGCTCGACAGCGCGTCCTTCGCCCCTAGGGAGGTTTTTGGAGACTATCGGAAGATAGTTTCGCCGCGGACGTTAAATGCAAAAATAAAATAAATAAATAAAATCTAACAGTTACATTATCATGGGCAATTGAGAAAGTGAAATAACAAGGGAGTTGTGCGTAGGAAATTGGCCATCCGTCTAGTCGCTAATTGTAACATTTGCATGACTGAGTTATTGCCCTTAATGCATCAGCCTGGTTTACTTGCTTGTAAACTACTCAACCTAAACATCATGATACAACATTTAAATTTAGGGTAATCTGTTTGACACATGGAGTCTATAAATTGAGAACTCAACCCTTTGGGTAGAGGTGAGAGCGTATTCTCCACACTGTTGATAGCAGCGGTGCACATTGCAAGGTTTGTTGCGGCCTGAGCCACTCGCTGTTCTTCAGCTTCAAGTATGGCTCGAAGCTTGAGAGAAAAAGTCGCAGTGTTCTTGGAGCAGCTATCGCGGCAAAAAGTTTGTTTGTATACAATTGCCCTCGGAATGGTATTCGGTGGGGTTGTAGTGGACACGGCTCCGTTGGCCTTTTTGGCGTCAACACTAGCTGTCCGCTTCATGGCCGGCACAGCAATCGTCCTTGTGACTGTAATAACGGAGGCCTCTGAGACCTGACCGTCTTTGGGTTCCTGTGTACTCCACCGTGAGCTCACAGGCCTTTTTCTTTATATTGGTTGATTGTCGCATCACCCACCTCGACATCTGGGTACGAGGAGTTCGAGTCTTCTTTGAACACTATTATCCTCTCGACCATGTCCAATCCCATCTCTCGCCCGTATATCGAGCTCAACAGTATTCTTTTGCGTTCTTAGTGTTTATCAGCTTGGTATTCATTCTACCAACAATTCTTTTGTGGCGAATAAGCCGCGATGATTTGGCAGGTACCGGAGACATGTTGGAGATCTGGGGTCTAGTTACTACGAGAAGTCGAATTAGTGTAAACATATGTGAATCGAAGGGTAGGGGAGATGATTATAGGGTATCATCGATTTTCTCAAAGTTATTCAGGAATGCTGGCACTGTTTATGTTTGTTTGTTTTAATTTTTAGTTCCTAGATTATACACGCTATCCCTTTAGGGTCAATGACCGGTATTTTCAACTAAGATCATTTCTGTAACACGCCCAACTTGTTTCCATCACCTGAGCCGCTACAAATTTAGTTGCTATATGAAAAAGAAGCCCAAAAAAAATCGCAAAAATAATTAAAAAACAGAAGATTACTTAAAGTAAGTCTCAGGCAATGTATTTCTCAAACATTCTTTTATCCGCAATATCTCCTAAATGACAAAATTGTTCAATCTCTGCTAAGAGCTGGAGATAAGTGGCCGGGTTTTTACCAAAATGGTTGCTCCCTCCTCCAAATTTGTTGAAGTCACTGCTCACTTTCCAGGTGCCCCTTGCACCTCATACCTGTATCTCGGGATTCAAGGCCTTAAAGCCTAGCCCCCCCAACATCATTGTATTTTTCGAGGTAGATTGTCTTTCTGCCTCGGACTTCCTTCCGGCAGTCTTCGCTCGAGCTGTTGCAGAGAACTCTCGTTGGCTGGCCTGTCGAATGAAAACCAATATCTCCTTTGTTATCGGGCCAGCTCGGGTCGGTCGAGCTAAGGATTCTCGACTAACCGAACGTTGAGGGCCACCACAGTTGCAAAACTTGGAGGTAGCTTTACACTCTACTTAAGAGTGCATCGTTGACCCGCAGCTCATGCAAGCCAGAGCTCGGGAGCAATCACGAGTGACGTGGAAGCTGAGGCGGCGATAACACTGCTGAATTTTTTTATGAGGCTGGTACATTACAGCCATTCAAGACTCGTCGAGGATACGGAAGCCCGCACAAGGGGCGGAATCCGGGCAAAAAGGGCATGCCAGCTTCTGTAAGGCGTACCAGGGCGGCACGTCCCGTGTGGTAGCACCTGGATTAGCTTCATGCGAGTTTTAGAGTGAATCTCGGCTGAGACCAACCTAGCATTAACCGTATTAGTACAGTTAACAGTTTTGATAATCACGGGTACATTCGCGATTCGGAAAGTGATAAGGTCTGTTGGAATTTCGCACCAGTTGCTTACTCTAGAACTACACAATTGTCGGTGATGATCGGCAAGGCTGCTTAGGAATAACTTGGCGCATAATTGCACTAGACTGAAATTGGTTTTAGCGTCAGACAAAGAACACGAGTAATATGTAGAAACCTAGATGTAGTATTTTCTTTAATATTCTGACCAAAAAAAATAATATAATATAATAAGAACGATTTACGTGAATAATTTATTTGATTGAACTACTACGAAGTACTTTGAAGCTGTGCCTATATTCTTTGAGTGAGTTTCCTCTTAGAACCCATACACACTTTACAACAAGGTCTAAATTTTCCTCGATTTTGGCGTTGAAATTCGCCAGTTTCGGAGCCGCATTCAGGAGCCTTTGCCTTATAATTTCATCATCTTCCAGAATCGCAAAGCCGGTTCTGACTCGGTGGAAGTATTTTGTGTAATCCATGACTTCCTCAAATCATTCTCTAGTTCTCCCCGTGCGCATACAGGTGAGAGCTTGCGCTACGGGTAGTTGCTACCGAGGCGGACGAAAAGTCGGCTTTCGACTTTCGCCTTCGGAGCATCTTTCTTTGAGGCTTTGGCCGAAGGTTGCGGCTCAGCATTTACTGAAGAGACTGCTATTTGTGGACTTTCATTTTTAGCTACCCTGTCTCAGGTGCTTTTTACAGGAAGCGCTGGGACGCCAGGTATTATTGGGCTCCTGACGTCGGGAGTTCTTGAAGGAGGGTTCGCCGGGCGAGGAGGGAGAACGGGTGGCGTGGAGGCCATGAATCGTGCAATGGTGGCGCGTAGATTTATTCTTATGGAGTCTAAAAATTCTCAAATTATCTCATTTGTCAATGGGAGAGTACTTCGACATCTGAGATTGCGGCGGCGCGTCGTTGTTCGGCTTCGACAATAGAGAGAGGCTCTGGGAGGAAGTCTGCTTTCGTGGCAGCTTCTGGTTGCGACGTTGAGTTTGACGCTGTTATGGGTACAGCGTTGACCGACGGTTTTTTTTTGATTTTTTGTTCATTAACGTGCTAGGTTACATGATTACCATTGTACACCTACTGAAGCTTAAGCTCGAGTGGGGCCGGGCTAGATTAGGTTAACTACCGTAACGTACAGATTTACCTCGTCCCAACTAAATGACCAGACCACCTCAGACTTCACCTATGTGTTGAATTACACCAAGCCTGACCGTTCAGAAACCCGCTGTATAAACGCTGTGGCGCATATTCCTCCTCAGCCTCGGCCACCACGCGCTCGAGCCCTTGACATCCTCATTGACTCCGTGATATAAATATCCGACGGTTTTGATGCGGTCGGAGGAGATTTTGACGAATCTCCAATCCCATGGGGAGGGGCCGAGGTTTGATGAAGGGATTTCCTCAACAATTTCAACAAACACGATTGTGTCAGTATCGCGCTCAGCGACGGTGGGGAGGGTTCATTCCTTCCATCTAGTTGAGACCCTACTCATCTCCACCTATTTTGAAGACTGAGCAAGGCCCGTAGTTTGATCAAGAGCCCTCGGGCGGACTCTCGTTGTCCAGCATGGAGTTGGGACGCTTTTTCCGAACAGGTGGCATGGTAAGAATGCTAGGAGCCCGCTCTCAAATGTCTAATATATGCGACGAGTGCGAGAATGGGGATATGGAATTAAACGGAAATTGTCAGGAATGGTGGCACCGGTCATGTGTCATATCTAGATATTTGAATACCCTTTTCTTTAAAAAAATCCAAACCATCCAGGTATCCCTGAAACTGCGCTCCGTCAGCCTTGTACTATTAATTAAATGACTTAGATAGCACGGAACTAGATACATACACAGTCAAAGATGAACATTTATTAGCTACAGTTACTTACGATATGGTAACCACCCACCCGACTTCAGCTATGCTACAGAATATCTTGTTTCTAATTATTCCTAGGCTCCCGAACCTGAGAGTCTGAAGAGGAAGCGATCTAGGCCTTCGGAATGGTGGACGGTGAACCAGAACGATTCCCAAGTAATGCCTGAAACCTCAAATTTAAAAATAAATAGTGCTTCTGTAGATAAGAATAAAGAATTTCCTATCCAGGCTTCACAGTCTGAGTTTGATGCAAGTGGCAATGATGAAAGCATATCAATGCCTAAAAAGTTTCCTGCATCGAAATTGGAAACCACAAGTGTTAAGGGCCCAAAAAAGGCTTCGAATAAAACCATCAACAAAGGAGTCAAGAGAAAGACCATCCCTAAAGCTTCGAAGAGAGAAATTTATACGATACCGGGAAACGTATCGACTTACGAGGAGCATAGAAGCAGTTCTATCGGATCAATTGGATCGAGTAGAAGAAGTAATGGTAAAAAAGATAATTTAACGATCGAAAATAATAAAAATTACGATGAATTACAAGCTATAGACTACAGGTCTACTGAAAAGCAAGTTCCTATCGGCCTAAAAAAACGAAGCAAGCTTCGAGACAAACAAACCCTGTCTCTTGACAAACCTGAGCCACGTACCGGAATAATAAGGTTACGAAACAAAAAAAAATCGGAAATATCTTCATCTCCAGCCTCTTCTGTTGCTGAAGTAAATGAGTCCCATTTAAAGATTAGTCAAGAACATGTCGATTCTGCCCGAAGACTACGGAGGGCTGAGCAAGATATGATAGGTACAAAAAAGCCGAATAGAGAGTCAGCGAAGTCTTCCGTGACAAGAAAAGATATCCTCACATCAAGTAGGCCTGAAAAATCTCATAAAGAAGCCCTTGTTGCTCGTACTACCATGAAGGGGAAATTACAAGCTCCATTGAGAATAGCCGAAAAAAAAATAGAGATTAGCAACCCTCGCAAAAGATCGAAATATGTGAATGACGAAACTATCAGAAAAAAAAAAAGAAAAAAATATAACGATGTACAGTTACAACCCGAATCTTCTGATGATAACGGTGAGGGCAAATGGAAAGATCATCCACGAACATCAGTCAGGAAACCTGCCGAAAATGTAGCTTCAAACACTCCTGATGGAGACTCAAGGAAAATTATAATACCTGTAATACAGAAAGGGATATCAAATTCACAGAAAACTTCAACCCTTCCATCGTCAAAAGATATGTCCCATTACCATAACAGTTCTAAAAATGATTCTGATGATAATGAACCTCTTCCGTACCAAAAACTAACTGCAGTAACAAGATACGTATCGCAACATGTAATAGAAAAGAAATGGCGTGCTATGCCATCAAATTACGTCGAACATATCTCAATTTTATTAAAGGATATCGAAAAAGATGTCATTTATCGATTAGGTTCTAAGCGCAGAACCGAGATTGGTCTAGTTTTACAGCAAATTACTCGTAAATTAATCACTAAGTTGTCAAACGGCGCTCTATTCCCAATATCTCACAGAAAAAATCAAGAGAATTTTAACTTCGAGAAAATTTTAGACAAAAACCAATTATTGGAGAACCATTTGACCCCCATTCTTCATACCAATGAATTACTTGAAACAGAAGTTAACAAAGAATTAGCATGGCTTGAAGTAGAAAAGGAGAAGTTGGGCGAACTAGAAATAAATGCAAAAACAGAAAGGGTATCGAGAAATGAGGCTAGTAGGAAACTACATGCAGTGCTTCAGAAAAATTTGAGTAAAACCTCCCTTGACTTAGAGGATCAGGTTGGACTGGAATTTCAGAAAATACCGAGCCCGAGCCTATCAAACTTAGAGGTAAATCTACTTAAATTTACATCCTTAGTCTGACTTATTTCTAGGTTTCTGGTGATGACGACTTGATCAGTTTAGTCAAGGATATATATGGTCATGTAGAGAGTCTTCAACGTAACGCCAAGCAAGTCAGTGGCATTAGTGAGATGATAGCACGAAGCAGAGCCACTCTCCAGGCGACACTTTTTGACCAGCTTGACCAGGAAGAATTTGAGCGCATTATTATGGGTATTTAACTAAGATTAAATCTAAAATTTCTCTAGCAAAACATTTAAAATAATTTTATGATTTGGCAAGAGGACCGATAAACTTGAAACTCCTTGTAGAGATAGTCTAGGATTGTATTATGCAACCAAAAAGCAACATTCTTAGTACACCCTGTAAATAAGTATTCCTTTAATGCAATAATTTTCTCTCAATATATGTTGGGAATGCCCTTACAGCTCGGCTATGCTGCCCAAGCGGAATTCTGTGATACTATGAAGCTGCTTGATCTGTGAGCATCTAAATTCGTGTTACCTTGTTCCTCACTTTTCGTTAAGTGTTACATTGAGTATGGGTTCTGCGGGAGGCTATCGTATGGTTTGTATCAAGCCACAGAGGACTCTCAAACAATGATTAAAAGTGGTATTTCAGCGGCTACACAGGTCTTACTTCCGGCCTAAATTTTAAATCAAAGTACCTCTCCCGTACAATGGAACAATATGTGACGTGCAAAGAGCATCCAACCAAGCCGATTAGTATGTCACTGCTATCTTGTACGAGCAAAATACCAAGAAAGTGCGGCAAGAATGGCCTTGTTACGGAATCGGAATCTTCGAAAAGGGTATAATGTAAAATCAAATCAAAGCTGATGGGTCTAGTATCTGTACATCAGTAGTATTTCGACTTTACATCGGTGGGCTGGTTCACGGATCAGCACACTAATTGGATCATGCTAGAATGCGCGCTTGTTAAATTGAATTGATTTGTTTTAGGGTCCTAAGCTATGCTCTATATCTCCTAGGAGTCAAAGACCGGTGTACACGGCCGAGATCATGCTTTCTGCATGCCCACCTCGGTTTCACCGCGTGAACCACTACACAACCAGTAGCTAGTTATGAGAAAGAAAAATAGAAACTCCCGTTAATTCCTATAACTAAAGTTCCAAGCCCAGTAATCCAGTTTGTGGTTAGAAAAACGACCCTTCTCGTCTCGTTTTCCTACCTGCCATACATCGTGCTATGACTAATTACCACCGTCTCCGCTGAGAGCTGGAGACGGATCCATGGGTGGGCCCCCGAAGCAGCCGGTTTCCTGCGCAAATTATGTAAAGTTCTCGAGGCACTTAGGCCCGAGAAGTTTGTGGACAAAGTCGTGATGTGACATTGTCCCTCGTAGTCGACGCGTCTGGCGTGCGTGCAGTCGACAGTGAATGAAATGGAGAGGTGATGTTTCCTCCCCACATGCACACTCCATTGAAGCTGCGAAGTTGTTGAAACGGGGGTGACATGCCGCGAAATATCCGTGGCCAGTACGGGCTGAGATCAGTTCACGGAGTAGCCGCCGGGAAAGTGCCTGCTCGCGAGGCTTTCGTCGTCGCATGAGAAGTCCCAGATTTCGATACCTAGGTGGACATACTTCTTCCCACCAGTCGTCGAAAAGCGCTTGACGTTTCTGGTTCATGAGCCGACGAACGTACGCCATTGTGACGGAGCCAGGCTGGCTGTCTTTGCTTGGCAGTTGTCGGAGGCTGGAGCGTGCAGCTCTGTCTGCATCTTAGTTTCCCTGTATCCCGGAGTGGGCCGGTATCCACTTCACCGAGACTAGAGCCTTTTTTGATTGCGCCCTAAATTGGCGTACGTCATCTAGGCTTGTTGTGGCAATTCCCGTCAACAGTGCCTTCACTGCAGACTGACTATCCGTCAATACATTGATCTGCTGCCTGCCGTCCGTTCCCCCGTTCTCCATCTCCAACAATCCCAGCGCAGCTTCCAGGGCCTTCCTCGCCCCTATAATTTCCGCATCAAGCACTTCACCACCATGCTTGATGCCACATCCCTTTAACAGAGTTTTTCCATCCCTCTTCAAGACGAACTCCCATGCTGAGCGACCATTCCCCTCCGACGATTCATCTGGGTAGGCGCAAATATCTGATGCCAGCACACTATTAATGAACCGAGTTGCCTTCTCTTCCTCCTCTATCCTTGAGCCAAAACCCGAAAGATAGCATGGCGGCGGTAAAGGCTCGGCATTTTCCGCGTCCGGGAGTTGTCAGTAAGCCCGCTGGACTCGTGACATCTGGAACTCTGGATTTTTATAGATCCGAGCATATTTCTTGTACTTCCGTGTTCCATCTCTCGGACACACGGCAGCACGGGTCCGGAGCGGGTGGCGATTGTCTAGTGAGTGTAGCCGAGCCGAAAGCCGTAGTTGGTTCTCCTCCAGAATGATCTTCCCTGTTGGGATACCTCCTTCTCGGTGGAGAACAAGATTCGATGTCGTTCTCATTACTGGGAGGGCAGCGCGCTTGTTAAATGATTAGGCGAAAGCTGTTTCGGCTTGCTTCCTTATCGGTGAATGACGCCCTAGATAACACGAACCTTAATTAGTATCTGCAGCTATGCGTTAAGAGCCGTGTATGTTAATGAATTTACAACTCGTCCTTGTGTCATTACAGCGCTTATGTGACCACTGTATATATCAAAACATGGGCCGTAAATGCCATGACGAGCCTCAAGAGTTGGAATTGTCTTCCTAGAAATTGGAGAGAAATTCTAATTTGTTTGTGGTGAATAATGAAGGGAAGCTGCACGATCAAGTGCACATAATTATTGATAACGACATGGGAAGTTCACTTGAGCAGATGCAAGATTGTCCAGTGGAAAATCTAGCAATGAGTGTGGATGCCTTACCACAGGGATCGATGCAGATTATTCAACCATGCCCGGTCTCTGAAGTCCAGTCGAGTTCATTGAATGAAGGAGGCAGCCAATGTAAGTATGAAACCGAGTTTATCAGTCATTTATTAATATAGGATTAGTTATAGGTTCCTTGAACGATTGGTCTCAATCCCATGGTAGCCAATACCATGAAGTGCACAATTTCCTCCCATCTTACACCTTTAACGCCCCTGAAGTAACTACTGAATACAATCTTCTGGACGAGTTTCTCAACAACAGCTTGCTGGATGATGGGACTTTGCTTCCTAGTGAAAGAGGAAACTTTTACCTGGGTCAACCTAGCGATATGATACCAAATGCTTTGGATAATCAAGCTAACCCATCCGGCCCACAGTCTTCAAGCAAATTATTCCAAGGGCAATTGGCTGAGCAACAAATATCAAGACCAACAAGTGTTATTCCCGGTGATAAATCGTGTGAATACTATCTCCAGGCTGCTGATCCCACCGGAAATGATACACCCGAAGAAAGAATGCAACGATTGCTCCAAGCAAAATATGATGCGGGAATGCTAAAGCCGTATAATTCACTCAAAGGTTACGCAAGGCTATCGACTTACATGGATCAACATTTTCAACCCTCACAGAAGCAAAAGGTTCTCCAACATTTGGAGCGATTCAGAAGTCAGTTTCGGGAAAACGTACAATCTCTCACAGAAAGTGAGCTTACATCAGTTGAAATGTGGTTTGAATATAGTCTCCTAGAATGTGATCGAGCTTTCGCAAGCATGGCAATCCCCGCATGCTGTTGGAGGAGGACAGGAGAAATATTTCTTGGCAACAAAGAGATGGCGGAACTTATACGTGTACCAATTGAAAAGTTGAGAGATGTGAGTACAAAAATCACGTTAGTAATATAGTCTCAAAATTATAGGGCAAAATAGCTTTACATGAGATACTCGTCGAAGAGTCACTTGTAAGCTATTGGGAAAAATTCGGTGCCATGGCCTTTGACCAGGGTCAGAAATCTGTTTTCACAAGCTGTTTCATAGAAGCTTTTGAAGATAACTCAGAGAAAAAAAAATTTAAGTGCTGCTTCTCCTTCAATATAAAAAGAGATGATCACAAGATGTAGGTTGAAGCAGTCTCATAATTCACCCGCTAACAAGCTGCAGTCCCTCTATGATAATTGGTAATTTTCTACCGCAGAATCCTTCGAGACAATAGAGTTGGCGATACTTAGCTCATTAGAATTACAGGTAGATTTCAATTAATATTCTGTTTTCTCCAATTTTTCCATATTTTATCTGAGAAGTTTTGGTGATCTTTCTTCAAACTTTCTATTTTGGGTTTAAAATCACATTTTTTGCATAGCTACTGTTCGAGGAGTTACAGCCGCTGTTTTACGGCTTTAAATCGGCTTGTGATATTGGTTGCCTCAGAAACTGTGCTGAACCAGTAAGATCTAATGGGTCCTGATATCAAATTTCTCATGATCGTTCCTTCCTAATCAAGCATCCATAAGCTCAGAAGGTTACTTTTGATGTGAAGGGTTCATAAAAAAGGTTTAGCCATTAAATTTCGTCACTATGATCACTTCGGTGAGACCAAATCATGAAAAGAATAAGCGTTTAGAGAATTTACTCGGTAAGCTGTAGTTTTTTCAAGATCAGATACTGAACAAAAGTTTTGATGGCTAAATCCAGCGTTTGGAATGGCCCTGGAGCCCCAACTTTCAACAGCAGTTACACATAATTCAACTAAAAATCTAACTTTGGAAATTCATAAGTCAATCTCATCATTTCCAACCAAGATCATTAGTTCGCAAAATTTCGAAGAATTTGATAGATGCGGAACAGCAATTTGGAACACATGTACACGTCTTCGACGTGATATTGAGTTCAACGAGAATGATGAAGGAAACTATTTGCTTTTTTTAGCAAGAATATTTGCCTTCTTCCTGCTAGATTGTGCGCATCAATGCGGCGAAGCTCCTGCTGGAAATTTACTAAGATTGATTAAAGTTGGAATTAAGGCAGCGAAGAATTGCATAGGTCTGTGTCCCCTTTCTATTAGCGGGCCTAACTTGTAGTAGACCGCAAAGATTGTGATATGGCCCTCAGAGTTCTAGGAAAAGTTGGTGGATATCAGGATTCGTTGAAAGTGCTTGGAGAGGAATCCGACAAAAAAACTCGGCATAGTTGTGAGAGAGTACTAGCTGAATATTATATCCTTCGGACGGCACTTGCATGTGACTGATTATGCCAAAATTATATTTATGCTGATGATAATTAGGCATGGCACATGGAGCAATTTGATATTGCTGAACATATGTTTTGCAAGGCAACTTCTTCAGAAAATATACTCGATGATAGCACTGCTGAGAGCTTAGGAGATACTCTCTATGAAATTGGAAGAGATCTCCTCAACAAACAACAGTACTCAATGGCAGTGAAGTGGCTTCGCAGAGCTTTTGGTATCATTAATAGCCATGAACTCGACAAGCTTAGCAAGGATGCTAGTGCACTCAGAATCTCAATACAACAATCATTGATCAAAGCACTACTAGGGCTTCAAGACAATGACTCGCTTGAAGAAGCTCAAAATTGGCTTGACATGCTTGAGCTTGAGGTTGGTGATAAACTAGTTGTCCTTCTTCTACGACTAGAGGCAATCTCTGTTTGTTCTGGCGATAAATTTGACAGCAATGCTTACAGCGACGTATTACAAAGACTCATGGCTATAGTTCACCTCACTGAGTCAAATTTTAGGCTCTTGATGTATCATGTACGAAGATTGAACGATAAGAGCCCAAATCTAGCATGTCGCGCACTTGAGATCCTAAATACACGAGTGATGAGAGAAGATAGGGATGAATATGTCGAGAAAATTTTGATCACTCGCCTTTGGATGGCAGTTGATTATAGAGATACTCAAGGTCAAATTTTACAGCTTGAAACTTTATTCTCAGAGCTTGTAGCAAATTTAAAAAGTCCTATTAGCTCTGTGGCAACTCTTGCAGCTCACACAGTGCGAGAATCTATCTATAGCTTAGGAATGAGCTGACTATGAAAAGCTGTTATGGAAAAAAATCGAATCTAATTACATGATTGGACACTATGATGCAGCAGAAAACTGGTGCAAATTGGCCATGCATAAAATATTTGAGAAATCAGGAGACCTTAACATGGCTAGGATCTCGAGGTTTGCTATTCTTGCAAATTGGATTTATTGGAGCTTACAATAAATAGAAAGCTTTTACTGTGCGCTCTTGCTAAGAATGAGATAAATACTGCCAAAGAAATTTTTGCTTCAATGTCAGAAGTTGGGAAAAATGAGCCTATGTCTCGATTTTTAATGTACAAGATTGCCAATCGTTGTGGTGATAGCGAAATGGCAGTTGAATGTCTCCACAAAATTAGCTCAGCTAGTATAAAAGATCCAACTCTTCTACAAGCATGTTGCCTTGATGCTCAGCAAATGGGAAATAAGCCGCAGCTACTAGTAACTCTCCAACTTATTATTGAGGAATACGCCCATGATTCATCTTCAGGTATTCACTTGCCGTCACTGCTTCGTTTCACCATTGGTCTGATGAGCGGAATGCTCGAGGAAGCAAAAAAATCGGGTTCGCAGGGTAACAATGATATTATTGAGAAGCTCTGTGTAGCTTTCGAAAGTGGTTTGTTACGCCATAAAAGGTAGAGGTTATATTTAACTTGCTAAATAGCTATCTCTTCAGTTCGAAATGCAAGGATTTCCACAAAGACTGAAGAAAAATTATGGACTGTAGATGAGCATGACTGGTACTCAAAGAACTCGTACTCTATCGCAATTAAACATTTTACTGAGTGGGATCCTCGACAAACGTTGAGAATGATTAAGTGCTGCATCGGATTCATCGATTATTACCCTCCCGATCCTTGCGGGCAGATATCGACTAATCACCAATTACGAAAACTATTCTGCGAATTTTCTGCTGCAACGGTATCGATTATTCTAGCTCGTGCTGAGGAAAATATTGAATCACAACTTCAATGTTATCTTGAGGTGCGTAAGCATGTAAAAGAATTTATCACAATAATTCAACACAAATTTGGCACACTAGACGGAAAAACACAGCTGGACTTAAATAGGAAGTTTCCTATTATAAGTGCCTTTGATTTTGAGGCGGCATGCCGGCTCAAATCCTGGGATGACCTTGAGCAAATAATAGCAAAGAATCATTCATTTAAAAATATACAAGCGTATGAGATTATGGCAGATTGTATATTATGTGCTGACGCACCAACAAAAGGTTAGCTTCTTTTCATTAGGTCAAACTTCGCTCAAAAAACCTACAGTTATTGTAACTATACTTGGGAAGATAGTTAGTGAGGCTTGGAAGATCGAGGACCTGAATACTAGCAAGTTGGCGAAATATATGCGTTGTCTATTCCAAATTGCCATTGCAGAGAACACTGAAATTGCAGAGGAGCTTTTAGATCAGGTCTGTCGATATGCCGAAGAGGCTTCTAAAGTATGCGTCATAATTTTTATCCAGTGCAAAATCAAGGCTCACAGTAAATAGAAAAATCAAAAATATCCATCGGAAGAACTCGAGTGGATTGCCACACGTGCATTTAATCATGCTGTGGATCTGTACTGCTGGAATGATGATAATGGGTGCCTGAGATGGTCTAGTAAGGCCTTGAATATTTCCCATTATTGTACAGATAATGGGGCACTAAAAAAAACATTGCAGGACAAGTTAATCAAATTGAAATTAGATGTTTGAATCCTAGATTCCTCATGTCAAGTCGATCTATCAATGCAGTTTTATAGGATAGACTATTAAGGAAATAATGACCCTTCATTTGTTGAGGTTGTAGAGCGCACTCATCCAAGTAACTACCGAAGTGAAACTAAGTACAGAATTTATTGTCATTTTTGTATCAACAACGTGGCCTTTGTGATGGCCCAAGTTATTCTAACTTCTAACATAGATTTACCAATTTCGGCTCTTTATCTGGAGTGTAAATTAGTATTACTTCCAGAAAAGATGTTGCTTAAATTCTGACGGCTAGTAAGCCGATGAATTGAAAAAAACATCATTTTTGCCAAAAAGCTGTGCAGCCTTCCACGCTACCATTACCATAATTTTGAAAACGTGAATCATATAATTTTATCTTATATGCTTCAACATAGCGGGTGCGGGTGCGGGTGTGGGTGCTAGTGTAGATAATTCCAGTGGTTTCGACGTGTCGCAAAAAGCGACAATTGCCACCACAAACGAAGGCAGAGGAGTGTATACAGCTCCAATGGATAAGAACCTTGAAACTATAGGAAAATTACTGAAAGTGTTCAGACTAATCATGATGGGCGAGATGGAGGACTCACCATCCATGGAGGATGTCAACGAAGCCATGAAGGCTTTTAATTACCACAAGAGGGCCCGGATAGCAATGTTCCAGATCCCGTCTCCAATGGAGAAGATAACAGCGGTCGAGGAGGCTTTAAAGAAGAGCCTCGTGGATCCCGTTCGAAATGCTGCTACAGGATTAGTATCGGGAATACCGCCAACAAGGACCTGCGCGTCAGTCGTAGCTCCAAAAATGATCAAAACAGCAGTACGCATTAGAATCGACGAAGCAGACAAACTGCAGTCTCAAGAGCTACTATCAAAGGCAAAAGAGCACATTGAAGGTGCATACACGATACGGCGAATTTGGAGCAACGACATCGAGGTACATGTCTAGTTGGTATTCCAGAGAGACGCGGCGCTTAATATACGTCAACAAAGCGACTCCAAAGTTTTACTGCAAGATTTTCCTGTTGAAGTTGCTGGGATTCCACTGCAGATAAGGATTGAGAGCGGCAGAGATGCCGAAAACTACGCCATAACTAGGGAGATTGAGACGGCGACAGAGGCTCGCATTCCTGGCCTCACAGTTTATAGAATACTATTGTTACATGATGGAAAGAAACACCAGCGGTCAAAGAAAAGTGGCCGCACTCGTGGATCAATTGTGGTCAGCCTTCCATTGGAGGAAATACATACAGAGGTAGTCCGAAACGGCCCAGTAATGAGCTCCATGCTCTTCACTGCACAAGTGTGGTTACCACGGGCCCAACCAAAGCAGTGCTTCAACTGCAGATAGTGGGAACACACACAAGCATTGTGTGGAAAGGCAGCCAGATGCAGTGGGTGCACTGGTGCCCACCAAATTCGGGATTGTCCGAGAAAAAGGATCTCTTGCGCGAGGTGCGGCAGGGAACACTTTTCATGGCAGAAATCAGCGTGTCGGAATTACCAAGTCTACGAGGGAAGTCTGGAGAAGGCTCGGATGGAGCTACTATCGAGAACGGCGGAAATTTGGAATGGAAATTCAACAATGGCGCCAATGCGAACAGTCGGAATGACTGATGATCAGGGATTCACTTTGATCACCAGTAAGAAGGCTGAAGGACTCAAAAGAGGACTGGGACAACCGCGAATGGTAGTCGAAGCCCCAATGGCACCAAACCATCCCCGTGACATTCGCACTAACATTGGGGCCGACTCTTCTAACACTTCGTCGACCAACGCCGGATGAGGGGGTGACTTCTCTTTTTAATTTCTCCCAGCAATATTCTGATCGAAGGGGGAGTTTATGAAATAATTTTTGAAAGGAAAGTTATTAGCAATAAGCCAGGTTGGCACAGAGTGGTAAGATAGTGCGTTTTGTTGCTTAAAAGCTTTTTCCCCTCTCAAAATGACTTACCATCTACAAGGATCAATATATAGATACTACATCGGACATTGAATTAGAGAATTTAATGAAGCCGATAGATTGCCTGTAGCCTGTGCTCTTCAGCACAGGCCACTTCTTAGCTTCAGCGCCAAGTTACGCTCGTATTGAAAGTCTGGCATTACGCGTGCACGAAATATTGATGGTAACTACCCTACACCTGGATAATGGGAGCCAGACTGGAGGACAGCTATTATTGTTTGGAATACTGGAATCATGTATATAATTAGGGCGTTAGATGTAGCAGTATTCCTGTTCTTCAGTTAATAAATAAATTACCTTTTAAAAAACAAATGCCCAAGCTTACTATATCGAGTTTGTTACATTAATATACAGGTCGCAAGATATATTACAATCAATAATAGAGGTAAGTTTTTGTGTCTAATATATTGGCAAATCCAAGTAAGCGCTATGCCGGCAAAGAAAATTTCTCCATAATCCAGCAGTAGTGGTATGAACACCAAGTCTACTCTACATAATTGAGATATTCAAGATAAAGTGTATCTAAATCCAAGTCGAAAATTAAAAAAAACATACATAATCGACAAATTCCTAAAAATTTTGGTTCCTTAACTCTCACACGAATCCTCCAATTAAATCATTGTACAAACTATCTCGTCCCAACAAACTTCCTCAAGACGGGAAATGAAACAGATTCGGATATGCTGACGATATTTGTATCCTCAGAATAGGACTCACTGCTGCCGATGCGGTAGTAACTGCCCAAGAAGAAGTCGGCAAATTCTTCCAGCTGACAAATGAGCATATAGTAAATTTGACTCAGCATAGCTATAACTCTTGAAATTTCCAATGAAGAAAACGACCCCTGGATGAGATAAGGAGATGCTGGGGTGAGCCAAAGCTGGGAATGAATCGAAGGGAAAAGTCACAGATGGCAAAGGTGTCAAGGGCTCGGGCGCGTGGTGGCCGAGGCCGAGGAGAAATTTGAGCTTCGGCGCGTCAAGAGAGGGTTCTCTGGACAGTTGGGCTTGGCATGATTCAACACATGCGTGAAGTCTGAGGTGATCCGGTCATTTAGGTGGGACGAGGTAGATGTACTTAATGGTAGTTAGCCTGATCCAGCCAAACCCCACCCGTGCTTAAGCTCCAGTAGGAGTGCAACTGTAGTCACTTTACCTAGCACGTTAATGAAAAAAGTAAAACAAAAATAAAACAAAGCCCTTGAGAGCAACCAAAACTTATATGACGCCCGGAACTCCGAGCAGGTCAGAAAGCCCGATCAATTACCCTTCAGCAAAAGGCGCTGCGATCGGCAGCCCGCATACGAAGAATGGATGTCTGGAATCTTCTAGTCCTCCGGGCGGCTAAGGGCCCGAATGATACAATCAGAAGCTTAAGTTTTGATCTGGACAAAGATATCGCCTATTCATATAGCCAGAAAGATACATGACACGCCTGCAAGTGAGCGTGTGTTGAGTTACCAAAGTCGAAGGCCCTGGGATGCTCTACTTTCCACACGGCTCCCTAGCACCGACTTCATGTAGTCGAGAAAAAGAAGCTTTGTCAGGAAGCATCAAAAAATGGTTAGCTTCCCTACCAGCTAACATAATCTATGCCTTCTCTGATGGATCTTCATGGGGTCCTGGACAATCAGCCTGGGGATATTTAATGTAACAAGGAGGCAAGCTAGCTGGAAGTGTCTCTGGTCAACTTCCCGGAGCAGAGGTATTTGACGCGGAAGTTGTAGGCGCCATGAAAGCCTTGAAGGCTGCACTAATAGTTGGAGAAGACCTACCGATTTGCATTCTTCTTGACAATCAAGCGGCTGCTCGGGCGCTCGGAAGAGGAAGATCTAGTTCCTCGCAGGCAGTGGTGGACAACTTTTCACTGCTGAGACAAAACATTCGTGGGGAAATATGCTGAGTACCTGGTCATATTGGGATCAAAGGCAATGAAGAGGCCAATAATCCGGCCGAATCGGCCTTGAGATCTCTCAATAAATGATCACTAACCATAGACTTGCTCAGTGGAGAATCTCAAAATCTAACCTTTGCGGAACTATGCAGACTAGTTAAAATGTGGGGTCAAGAACTCGTGGAAGAGTGGTGGCAGAAGTTTCGGCCGGAACGATATAAAGACCTAGACCTCTTCATGCGCTGCAAACAGCCACCGGAACTGGCTCTACCAAGATGGGCGTAGCACCGTCTGATTGCGCCAAAAACAGGCCACGGTGACTACGCCAACTATTACCGGCGTTTTAACCCCGAACACAAAGATCTGAAATACGTTTACGGCGGAGAGAAAAGGCCCTGGCATTTTTCAGAGTGCCGACTTGCCTTACAATGTTGGTGAAGCTGTGAGGAATTGGCCCCGCCTGGAGCCAGGGAGATGATTGGGGAGAAGGGATGGCAAAAGTTTTTCCGATTCCTAACTACAAGCAGATGTTACAGTCTGCCGAAGAATGAACAAGGTGGGAGGTGACCACGCTGAGACAGTTTCCAACTCGAGAGGGGATGTGCTTGGAAGATAGGGATACGGCACATGGCGTTATAACTCAGAAATTTACTATACCACTCTTCTTTCTTTTTCTTTTTCTTTTTCTTTTTCTTTTTCTTTTTCTTTTTCTTTTTCTTTTTCTTTTTCTTTTTCTTTTTCTTTTTCTTTTTCTTTTTCTTTTTCTTTTTCTTTTTCTTTTTCTTTTTCTTTTTCTTTTTCTTTTTCTTTTTCTTTTTCTTTTTCTTTTTCTTTTTCTTTTTCTTTTTCTTTTTCTTTTTCTTTTTCTTTTTCTTTTTCTTTTTCTTTTTCTTTTTCTTTTTCTTTTTCTTTTTCTTTTTCTTTTTCTTTTTCTTTTTCTTTTTCTTTTTCTTTTTCTTTTTCTTTTTCTTTTTCTTTTTCTTTTTCTTTTTCTTTTTCTTTTTCTTTTTCTTTTTCTTTTTCTTTTTCTTTTTCTTTTTCTTTTTCTTTTTCCTCTGTCGCTTCTGGCTTTAATGCCGGCCATGTAGGTGGCAATGAGCTCTCATATCCCATCTACCCATGTCACGTCTAAATAGATGTTGGGTCTGTCCTATCACGTTAGAGATATCAAATTCAAACTCAAATCCCAACAATCAATCAAGGAAATGCTCCAACTGTAAACGAAATGAAGCCTCCTCAATCTGAAGTTTCCTGCTGTAGAATCATAGCTCAAAGTACACCAGCAAGGAGGAAAGTATGTTGTGATATGAATAGGCTCAATCTTGGTTCATGGATGACGCTTGGCTGGCTGGGGCGTTAAATTTTTGCATCAGATTTTAATTTCGTATTCTCCCATCTAGCTATTGTTGAAATATGATATATCATGGAATGCAAAGAATGACTAATTTGTAGGCCTGGCTAATTACACCATCAAGTTCCATATCTTATATCTTATATCATTGAAATCAATACATCCCACACTGAAGGTTTGATGCGCAATGGTGTTTATTTCACACCACGGCATGACCCTCATCATCTATTAGCAAATATTAATTACATCAATATTCAAAAATAGTATCGACTTTAAAGCTATTAAGATTGTTTAAGCTATCCTTCATAGTTTTCTTTTTTTTGTATCAGATTTTCATTGCGTATGCAGCTATCTAGCTATGACACAATATCAAAGAAAAGTACAGAATAGATGATTCAACGTAAAGAAAGAGCACTCATGCCTCGGATTTCATTTGCAAGTACCACTGCGAAGTTATGGTGGCTTTTTCTTCACCCCAAGTCAACCATCATCCATGAATACCCACTCAGGGGAACGTCTCAAAAACCCTGAGTTATCTAGACATGCCTCCATCATCTTTCAACTTTTCTCCGCGCGAAATGTGATCTTAAGTGTCTCCTTCCCAAGTGAAGTCGGTGCCCAGGCTACTCAGACCATACCGGAGAACACCGCCAGGAGGCGGACCACAACCCCTTCCATCGTTTGCTTGTGTTTATAGTGTCAGCTGCACTCTCGCAAGCGAAGTCTTGGCGCGCACAAAGCTCAATTCGTAAAACTCTTGCCAAAATCCGATATTTCACGCCCGTCGAATTCGTATCCCTCTTCTGTATCATCTTGTAAACTTGTCCCGATCCCTCTCACGGCCATTCTAAAGAACAGTCTCCCAGATTTGTGCGCCACGCTTTGCTTACTCCGTCGGGTGTAAATATCGGCGTGGGCGTGTATTTGATGACCAGCTGAGGCCAGAGAAAGTCGACGAGAGGTGTGGTCATTGAAACAAGGATGTACTAAGTCGTACTCGTAAAATTGATGAGGCTTAGATAGGATTCGGACTCGCTGGGAGTGAAAAATTGAAGTGGTTAAGTATTTTGAATCATTGCCTCGTGGGCCAACTTGTTCGGTATTGCGAAATTTGACTGAACTTGGCTCTGGGAGAATATTTCACTCCCAGGTTCGTAGAGGATACCGCGTACAGGTGTTCAGTCTTGCCCTCCGTTATAGGGCTCTTAGCGCGCTGTGCGATGGAAACGGGATTGCTACTTTAGTATTCGAGGGTTGTACTCTTTCATAGATAGATATGAATGAATACTGTCGATTTCACCTAACTATCCAGTATACGTAACCTGTGTACAAGTTATATCATCCCGTGGAACCAATAGTAGGAGTAGAATCTAAATTCTGAGCACTGACCCGTGCCCCCAACATTCTTGGTTGGAGTTACTACAGGGGCGGGGCAAATCTCGAGGGCTTGATAACAATGAAGCATCTCGTCAATAAAAAAACTAAACTTGGCTGACGGATCACAATTGCATCGTTATGAAGATAAAATCCGAGGAAAATGAGGTATTTTTCAGCGTGAGATTGAATGGGGTCCAAGAAAGAAACAAGTTACTGTGAAAAATTGCTATGGTAGGATAGAGCTGAGCCTTAGAGAAATATTAGCTACGAATATAAAGGTGAAGGGAGGCCAGTTATGTGATAACTGCATCCAAAAAGTTTCCTGTACCTCGGCACAGGCCAGATTTTCTGAGTAGCTTGTCCTAATAAGTGAGACGCATAATTGAATTTTTGGAATGGTAAAGTTGTATAGAAGGTATAAAATTTAATCTAATTTAGTCTGATCTCATGGCTTGTGTCTTCAATTCCGGGCGATCAAGTATAATGGTGTTGTTATCACTTAATTGTGTATGCGTAGTTTAGCTGTAACATATTGTAGAGTATATACCTTTATGCCTTAGGTAGTAGTATATCTGTAATTCAGTCTACCAACAAGGACTCAATCATTAGGGATTGGGTCAAGTAATAATCAACCATCGTTTTTCACCTAGTCCACCTATTCAGATCTGAATAGCTAACCCAACAAATGGAGTAGATTTTAAATTTTCATCTTTATCTGCCTAGAATCTACTACTTAAATCATACAAATATTTCTAGAAAATTTGCCTCTAACTCATAAAAGATTTCCTAAAGTTATGCTTTGAGTAAATAAAATCGAAACGGCGATCGAAATTTGAAGGCCAAATTTAAACCAACATGGAATGAACTACTGCCCGTCTTTGTATCAAACTTCGTACGATCTTATGTAAGGTTTAACCTCCTGAAATTGAGCCGATGTAAACATAATATTTATTCATCGTCGGTGGGATCGTACGCGTAGTACCGTCGATTTAAATGTAATTTTCTAACAAAACATGCTAAAAATGTCACTAATTACTCCAATTATAACATCAACTAAGCCCTCTCTGTGTTGTAATTGTATCATATTTATAGGAGACGCATGTCTTAGCTTCATCTAGTGTATATAAAATTTGCGTTCATGGGGGAAGCCTCTCGATCGTAATATAGCATGGCACAGATATAATACTCTTTTTAAAATATCTCAGTTTCATTGAAAGATTTATTAGCTTGACGCGAACAAATTTACATTTGAAACTAGCTTTTTTCATAATGTGTGTTTTGTACAAATATTCATAATCCATTATGCTTCTGGAACTCAAGTGGAATGATGGAAGCAATTAAGTAAATCCCTACCTCTAACTTCAATTGAAGCGAAGAGGCTTATTAAAAACTTTTTACACTAAATATTCCTAGATATTTGAAAAATCCGTATAAGCAGGTAATTGGCTTTGAGTCGTCTTGCTGAATACCTCGTAATAAAGAGGCTACCTACAGGTTATTTGTACGAGTTACTTGGTGGTATAATAGTAATTTTAGCTTATTTATATCTGAAATGGAGTATCTTTAAAAGTTAGCTGATTCCATAAAATGGAATAAGATCTTGCATCAAGAGGGAATTTGATCGAGGTAAACATAAAATTTATTTCGGTTTTGAAGGGCTATGGGGAAATCCCCTCTAAAGTTTAATTCCAGAAACTTGTTTTAAAAGTTGTATATATAACGTGCAATTAAAACTTGACTTGGTTCCAATATACCAAGACCCAATTAACATTGAGACAATTCGGTAATGGCTAGTGGCTCTACCTGTAATTAATCAAGTGTTTATAAGTAAGGGAATATATAAATTTCCCAAGTTCATTTCTGTATTTTGTTAGCAGGCATTAAAATATTGAAGAATAATCAAACTTTTTAAAACAGATTTTTAATAGATATAAACATATCCACAGTCATTAAGGATTGACTGTTTTATCTTAACGGCTAAAACAGGGTGGTAATAATAGATTAAGCCTAATTAATGAACGAGAATAGGCCCAGAGTTAAAGGATTTAAAGAATCCCACTATCCTGCGTTTTCTTTATCATAAGTTTGAATTTTGATAGATCTGATAAAACTAGTTGTATATCTCTAAGAGATATACTTGTTAGCTCATTCCAACTGAATATTCTTTATGACACTTACTTTGGACCTCTAGTATTGTACCATTTATCAATAGCAAAATGATGAAAAGCTAACTTATTTAACCTTTGACATAATGGTTTCTGAGCCTCTAATAACAACTACCTGGGCTGCTTTTGCTTTGACAGAATTTAGTAAACTCCTATCAAAATCATCTCTTGCCCGTAAGACAGCCTCTACCCAGCTAAATTGTAGATCCCAGTAGTCTGTCTTGAGCTCCACGAAGTAGTCTGGTATTTGGCTTTTTTCTAGTTCAATCAAAGCCAAGAAAGATTCTGTGACTCTCCATTTTTGCTTAATAACTTCTGCGACATCAGGACTCAGAAGCTCATTATTATTGAAGAACTCGAACGCAGTAGATACATCATTAAATATCTTATCTTTGAACGGATCTTGGCGCTTGAACTTTGCACCTTTATTCCGGACGCCTGATAGATAGCGAATGAGGAGTTCGTCTGCGAGCTCCTCGATAAAAATATCCAACAGCGAGTGATGTAAAACAGTCTTATAGTCCCCAACATATTCTTCGAAAGTGACTATCATTTGTTTCATAGCAGTGGCCGTATACCATTTTTGTGTGAAGAAATCGGGAATCACTGCTCTGAAGTCTACGAGAAAAATGAGCTGTGCAAATTTCGCAATGCAGTGTGTACTAAGATCAACATAGCCATTTCGAAGGGTTAATAATTGTTCATCTATCCGTTGCAAGTATGATGGGGAAACTAGCGGCTCAAACTTTTGGCGAAAGCTGGTCAGATACGCATATCGCTCTTCATCTTCGTTGTCATCTATACAAGCTATCTGATCATTTGCGGTAGCAACAAGCCAGTCTTGTAGGGCTTGAAATCCCTCTGTCTCTGGATTATTCCCGTTATACTTGGAGGCTTCTTCATCAAGCATTTTTTGCCAGTTCTGTTGGCGGGTTTTGAGGCGGAAAATCATCGAGTCAACCACTCCTTCTACAACATCAATACGTTGTGAATTTCCAGCTGCATCTATTTGTTCGGCAAGCATGCGCCACATGTCGACCAAGTTGTTAGTTCGAAAGTAACCGTATTCATCTGTACCAAGGTTACTTCCATCAATGTTTCGATCCGCAAAATCTTTTTGTTCCGTTTGGAATATACGATCCAGCCACTTATCCAAAAAGCGTACAATTAGGAGCTGGAAATCCCGGACAAGTTCGCTCTCTCGATTATCTAAGACGTGAGGCTCCAGCTCATCGTCTTTAAATCCAAGTCTTGACATCTTTGCATAGTATTTTTCTGGCCAATTAAGAATAGATAAGGTATTGGCTGAATTGGTATCTGGATCATCAACCATTCCTACAAGAAAGTCATGCATGGTTTTATGATATATTTTTCCATACGTCTGGAAAATTTTCCACTTTTTTGGCATTAGAGGTACCATACCTTGTTTAACGGCATTGAGATCATTAAAAAACCACTTAAAACTTTTCTCTAAACGGCCAGGATCCTCCAGAAATATTTCTTTTGATGCTGTCATTTGCTCATCAGCATGAAGCTGTATAGCCATTAGAAATTTTTCTTTGTAACCTCGTACAGTTCTAGCGCCATCCATTATACCCTGAAACCTGGCAGCCATTTCCTTATGATCTTTCAGTGCTTCCTGTAAAGCTGTTACCCTCTTATCACTTTTTTCCTCAGCTTCGATGATAACTGCGAAACGAACTATCATGTCTTGATTTCCATTGATAAGGACATTAATGATGTCCAGCGCAATCAATCCAATATGTTCGTCAAACCATTCTATAACCTCATCCAGTCTAACGAAGTAGTCTTCTAATGTGCCCTGTAAGCTTTGATCATCAGCTCGCGCAATTTGTTCCATAGCGTTATCTCTTATGTTTCTCAGCTGTGTTAGCTCATAGTGGACTTCCAGCAAGTTTGGCATATTCTCTGGGTCCATATCATCCTCTCTTAACAAATTTTCTACATACTCTAGACTATCATTAAATTTCTGCAGATTTTTCCTCATTGCCTCCACTGCACTGAAGTTTTTTTGAATTTGGGAGACAAGGTTGATGTTGGGAAAATCTCGAATCATGTTTTGGGCTTCCGTGCAGAGCTTGTCAATCTTGATCATTTCGTCTTTGATTGTTTGGACTGTTCTCTGACCATCATTGATTCCATTCATTCCAGATTGTGTAATTTTAAGCTGTTCGTTCAGCCCTATTCGTAGCTGTGAGTCCACATCTGCTTTCTTCCGCATGAATTCCAGTTTCATGGATGTTACCTTCTCCATGTCATCCGGGTGCCGAAGAAGGTCTGAAATTTTGACTGTCGAGCCATCCATAATCTCGGTGCGGCAAGTTAAATCTTTTAACTCTGACCTTCATTCGAAGGTGGATTCATAGATATTAGCCACGCCGATTTCCCTTGACCCGAGCTTCCGACTGGTTTTTCCGACCCGAAAGTAAGGCCATAGAACCAGCGATATTTATGGCCCGAATTAACCTTAAACATCAATTACGAGCATTGCACAATTGAGACATCTAAGATAAACTTTATCTGAATCGAAGTAAAAATTATAAACATCCTTAATCGAAAATTTCTAACGATGTTGGTCTCACAACTTTCGCATAATTCTTCCAATTACATCAATGTATAAACCATCTTATCCCAGCAACTGATCAAGGAAATGCTCCGATTACAAACGAAAACCAGTTTCCAAAATCGGCAATCTCCTACTACAGAATCATAATTCTACCTATACATCCATTAAATAAAGTAGGATGTAGTATTAAAAGGGTGAGCTTTGGCTCTTGGAGGATCGCTGTTTTAATGGCGATTCACAATGGGTTAGATGACGGCTATCATGGGCGTGGAATCAGCAATAGAAGAGGTTATCAATTGGTATACTGAGACTGATGTTTACGAGGGGGCTTAGGCGGAGGGCAAGACTGAACACCTGTACGCGGTATCCTCTACGAACCTGGGAGTGAAATATTCTCCCAGAGCCAAGTTCAGTCAAACTTCGCAATACCGAACAAGTTGGCCCACGAGGCAATGATTCAAAATACTTAACCACTTCAATTTTTCACTCCCAGCGAGTCCGAATCCTATCTAAGCCTCATCAATTTTACGAGTACGACTTAGTACATCCTTGTTTCAATGACCACACCTCTCGTCGACTTTCTCTGGCCTCAGCTGGTCATCAAATACACGCCCACGCCGATATTTACACCCGACGGAGTAAGCAAAGCGTGGCGCACAAATCTGGGAGACTGTTCTTTAGAATGGCCGTGAGAGGGATCAGGACAAGTTGATATAAAGATACAGAGGATGGATACATTCTCGACGGGCGTGTGATTTTGAAATTTGGCAAGTAGCATTTACAAATTCAGCTTTGTGCGTGCCAAGCCTTCGGTTGCGAGAGTACAGGACACACTATAAACACCGCCATGGTTGGATGGTGCGGTGGTACATTGTCTTGGTCGGTCTGCCAAGTAGAGTCTGGATAGCTTGGACACATATCCCACTTGTGACAGTAGATCGCTGGTTCATATCCGGCAAAACACAACCACATTTCTCGCGGCGCTGGTATACATGGATAACGGAGGCATGCCTGGATAACCAAAGGTTTTGAAACGTCCCTTTGGTGGGTACTTACGGAGGAGGGTCGACTGTTTGTGTAAGCAAGCATACCTCATAGTGATATTTGCAAATGAAATCCAAAGTATGAGTGTCTCTAACGTCAAAAGAGTCATCCAACATGTATACATAGCACCGGTCATGTGTCATAGCTAGATAGCTGAATACACATTAAATGATATAAAAAAACAGGAGATTTAGGCGCCAAGACCAATTACTATGATAATATTACTCATACTTTAAGATTAAGATGCACCTCGTTAGCTTTTGTGGATAAAAGCGTGGAATGACAACTTCGGTCATCACGGCAACGGCTGGACCCAGTCGAAGAATAAAAATTTCACACTTGTCCGCCATGCTATCTACGAACCTTGAATTGAACATTTCCTGTAGAGTCGAGTCGAGTTAAATTCCGCAATGCCGAAAAAGTTGGCCTTCAAGTAAGTGATATAAGGCTCCCTACCACATCAACCTTTCTCTCCAAACCTGACCAATTCCGATCGAAGTTTTATCAAGTCTAAAAGTACAACCTATTACATATTTGTCATAATGATAACAATACGTTGAATCGGTCCCTCACTTCAGCTATCCTCCAAATAGATGTTGTTGATGAATTAAAAAGGGTATATCTGTCATAAGTTAATTGATGTTTGTATAATCTCTATAACCTAAGTCAGTATATGCTGCTAGAAGAGAATGCATACACAAGGATATAGTATCATGTGATATAAAACAGCGTAAGGCTGATTCTCCAAAAGATGTCCAAAAAATGTGAATAAAAACCACGAGGCATATATCTGGTGAGGTACATATATGGAAGTATGATAATAAGAATAAACACAGTCTCTGGAAGCCCAAAACAACTTATCTCGGGAATCTTTCTTCGGATGTGGTAGTGGCTATTACAGTGGCTAGCAATCAAAGCACAGTCTGGGTAGCTTGGACACCTACCCCTCTTGATGTCGGAGATTGCTGGTTCGAATGCAGAAATATTCTATTTTATTTCTTGCGATGCTTGAACAACTAAAGACTTTAAATCTTCCTATTAGGGGGTAATCATGGACGATGTCCAAATGTTCTATGTTAGCAAACTCATGTCATAGTGGTTCTCGCGACTGACATCCATAGTAGGAGTATCTCTGAGCTCAAAAGCCGGCAAAGACGAATTCTTCACCTTCCAGTGGTGCCGGTGTAATCGCTCAGTATGCTCTGCATATCTGGGATAGCCAAGAAGAATCGCATCCGAATCGAAGTCGAAAGCAAACACATGTATATCTCCATTTGACGACTTCTCAACCATGGAGCACTCACCATTATCTTCTGAGTCCTCAACCCCGATCTAACCATATATCACTTCGCCTCGACGACCGATAAAGGCGTCACCCCAAATGCAAACAGGAGCTTGCCTCATTCATCACCGGCCATCACTCACTACAAATTTACGACGCTACCTATACCCGCAAGGAGGAAATTAAGTCATAATATACAAAGTTGGGGTCTTGGTTATGGGGGACTGCTGCTCTAATGGGGTTATACATCTTGAGGAAGAACAAGGGGCTGAGATGTGGAGCGAGAGGGGAAAGAGGTCTTCGAAGACCGTGTTGGAACTGACGTTTTCGAGGGGTTTTCAACATTGGAACGTTTGTGGGCGCTTACATCAAGATTCCGGCTAATTGGCGAGGAGGTAACGGCACTCCCCAGCGCCCTGGACGGTACAAAAGAAGCTAGGCTAAGCTACTATACAGCAATCACGCTCTGTCAAGAATTTTCTGGAATTTCAGCACGACCTTGGGGAAGAGATTGGAAGGAAGCTAGAAAGGCAGAGGGTGAAATTCAATGAGTTACCCACAAGTCTGCAGCGTCCAGCTGGCCGGCCTCTTCGAACGCATCAGAAGGATCACTCTGTCTTCGGATTTAGCCTTAATATAGGTATTAGTAGAGCTCCGCACCCAGTGGTTTTTGCGATTTTCCCCGGCTGCCATACACCCACAAATGGCCATCGTTTCGTTGGCTGGAGAGGGGAGATGATGAAGGGCTAAGTGCTCCTCTAATTGTATGATCGAATGAAGACTTGTGAGAGGTGGTACTGTTTGAGGGCAGCTGTATGGGAGGCATAGGAGGGGATATACTACTGGTATAGGTATCCTTGGCCTGTAGGCAGAGAGTGTTATGGCCAGGCATCCTTGAAGAGGTTTCAAGGGGAAGGTCTCTGGAAAAGGTGATAGGAGAAGATTTTGAGAAAGGTTTCGGGAAAAGGTTTACTGAGAAGGTTTCCGAGAAAACTCCTACATTTAGAGATGGAGGGGCTGGCGTCATGACGGCATTTGTCATAGTCTTAGTTGAGTTCAAGTACTGTCTCGAGTTAGACTTAAGGATGCTGGAGCTGCCACATAGTAGCTCTCCAGCTTCTCAATCATTCATTCTTTTGATCCTTGATCTCGCAATCTAGCATTTATATAATATTATAATCGTATATTCTCACAGTCCGATATTCTCAGTCTTTCGTTATTCGTTACATTCTTCGTACTTCTGTTCACCCTGAGTTATCAGCCTTGATTGCCTGCTCGTCAACTCGACTTCTTGACTTCGTGTCTTTCAACTATTCTGTAGTTCTACAACCTTTGACTACCTGGCACCTCGCCAAGCGAATCATATATAAGATTCCTTCGTTAGAAACTGTAATCCTATCAGTTATTAATACCTCACCTTCGGCAGACGGCGATCTCCAGTATACTTAGCGCACGCCGTAACAGAGAGGACCTGCATGTCCTACATAGTCATAGACTCAGACAGGACAATAAAATGAAATAATAATAATAATAATAATAATAATAATAATAATAATAATAATAATAATAATAATAATAATAATAATAATAATAATAATAATAATAATAATAATAATAATAATAATAATAATAATAATAATAATAATAATAATAATAATAATAATAATAATAATAATAATAATAATAATAATAATAATAATAATAATAATAATAATAATAATAATAATAATAATAATAATAATAATAATAATAATAATAATAATAATAATAATAATAATAATAATAATAATAATAATAATAATAATAATAATAATAATAATAATAATAATAATAATAATAATAATAATAATAATAATAATAATAATAATAATAATAATAATAATAATAATAATAATAATAATTTGAATTTGATTTCATTATCCTGATTTGGCGCCCTATGGGCCCATGCAGGTGTCTACAGTCTATAATATTTACCCGGGAGGAAACCTTTATGGTGAAAACCTCCCACACCTTTCTATTTGTTGTCTATAGTCCTCACATATTTTCTTCAGGAAGCGCAGTTACACTATAGTGCCATCCATGTAAACTAACCAGATCATCTCTATCCGCCCCCAGCATTATTTGACCTTTTCCTTTCCCTCAGCAGTATTTCGACCGCTTTTGTCATCTGGAATTGCTCTATCCAACCATGGTTTAGGATCCACTGTGTTATCCTTTTTATATCTCCAGGATTATTTAACATCGCTTCATAGGATCGATCTTTGGCTTGTCTCCAGATCTCAGCTCTACCATTTGACCATTGGGGGCAGGACATAATCATGTGCTTTGGGTTCTGTGATTGGTAGCCGCATGGACAACCTGGACTTAATACTCCGGGTACGTTTCTTCTGTGCAAATACGAGTTAAGCCCCAT